AGCTAAACATAATTAAATTTTTGCATAAGATCGTTAAGGTTGGCTTATTCCCATTTTTCATCTGGGGAAACAGAGGGACAGAGAGCTGGAAAAACTCCCACTAGCCCAAAAGTTATCCATATAGGCAGGTCTCAAAGCTATAAATTTCCCTTTTAAACTGTTTATTTGCCCTTCTGCTGGGGAAAGAAGCACCACAAATTTGTGCATTCCCATTTTGCATCTTAAGGGGCAGAAAATCCCGTTATGGAGGTAAAGATGGTTTACTGTCAGCCTTTTGACCTGCCCTTTCCATCCAGCCCATGATAAACGGTGGAGAAATTTTCCTGGTATTTAGAGGGAGGGAGAAGTAGAAGAGGTTCTACAGATATGTACATAGACAAGTGTGTGTGTGTTTATATATATAGTTTATGAAAATATATAAATATATAGCTATATAAAGACCCAAATATAATATAAAAATGACTATAAAAAAAGTGCAAACAGTTGCAGAATGTATTTTCCATAAGTGTGTAGTTCTGCTGCAAATAAGAAATTCCTTTGCCATGCAGGAAAAACAGCTCTTACCTGCTGATTTAGGGGGAAATACAGTGTCCAGGGGACTTCTCTGCTGAGCACTCCAGTGCTGGCTTTACTTCATGTCCAGGGTGCAGAGGGCCAGGATGCCGGGCTGGGATCCAGGAGGGCCAAAGCTCAAGCACTGGGCTCAGGCTTTAAGCAAGCTCGAGACCTCTGTGTGTGGATTCAAGTCATCCTGGGACTGTGAGATCGAGCTGAACTAGACATGTGGACATTGCCAAATTCATCCATGTCAACCCTAGGAAGGGAGCAGAAATAAATATTCCTGGCTGCTTGATTTAATAATTTAAATAATTCTGCATATTAGAGACAGGCTGCTTTTGCAGTGGTTTGAGGTGAAAAAAGTGGTCAGAAAAGGTAAGAAATTTCTGAGCAACTCTTCTGAGTAATATTTCGTGAGATCTTGAAATATTTGCTCCTGAAAATAATACTTATATAGTAAAAAAAAAAAAAAGGAATTCAACTATTTATTGTCCACACAGGAGACAGCTTTTAATTTTTAAACAAACATGATTGCGTTACATGTCTTAGATTTGGGGCTTCTGTTTTTCAGAGCTTTTAGAGTTTGTTGCTTGAACTATTGTCTCTCATTTAGGATTTCTGTAGCAGCTGAACTTAAATAACCTGAGAGAGCACTTATTAGGTCCATATCTGTATTTGTCAGCATTTAGGGCAGTTAAAACACAACTATGACTGAGAAATTCTTGTATTCTACTTTTCTCTTAGAATAATGTATGCACAGGCCTAAATCTGCTGAGCTTTACTGCTGTTTAGTAAGAATTACATGGGTAAAGCTAAAGAAGCTGCAGTTTGCTTTCTATTCCTTTAAATAGCCAAGCTCCTTCACATACAGTACTGAGATATTCTCGTGAAGCCCAGAGTGAGAATAATTTTTAGGTTGTAACCCTCAAGACTTTCAGATTTTTAAATCCTGACACTTCTGGATTATTAAAAAAAAAAACCCAAACCCACGTAGCTATCAGTAAATGGTGAATACATGTTTGTGTAGTTTGCTTAATTTGCATTTGCTGGTAATTAATTAAAAAACATGAGTTTAATTAAATTCGGAGTTAGGGGATTCATTAAAATAAAAACAAAAAGCATTTCAGTTAAAAATGTAAAATAACGTGTTCGGCTGGGTTTGCTGGTGCAGCTTAAGGATTTGCAGGGAAATGCCAGGAGTACTAAAACTTTGGGGACTATCACACTCCACACAGTTAGAGAAGAGTTTCTGAACAAGGAGAGTCTTTGTCAGCAGATAAATTTCACCTTGTAGATACTTGAATTGAAATAATAATATTTACCCTCGGTTTCTTTCTGGTTTGAGTCCGTGGCTGTGAAAAAAATAACACCCAGAGAGGTCCAAAAGGAAAGGATTACAGCGTGGCTGAAGGTAAAGTTATTAAAATAAGAGTTAGAGGGAAAAAGACAAGATAAAAAAGCTTAAAGGGAAGTGATATCACTCTTGCAAAACTCAAGACCAAATTACATTTACCTGTCTATACTATCATGAAAAGTTGTTCCTCTTTTCAGTCTCTTTTAGACACAACTCAGTGTCTTAAGATTTCTTTTTCCTTTGAGAACCATGGAAGAGGCTTGATTTTTAAGAAAAAAACGTGTTATTTGGATGTTGAAAGTGTGAATAGAAAAAAACCCCACACCTCAATTGATAATTAAGTGTTTATTAAGTATTTCTCTCTGCTCCCTTTGATTCTGCCCCTTTTGCAGGACAGGGCTCGTCCCTCCAGCAGAAATGTTTGTGGTCTGCCTTATGAAAATTGTCACCTGGAACAGAAGTGGAACCTTTCCACCCTCTCAGACTGAAGGGATTTAGTGAAGATCTCCCAGAGCAGCTCTCACTCCCCAATAGATCAGGCTTGTTACCTTCATGGACCCACATGGGCCACTGTGCACCAGCTATGGCAGCTTGGGAAAGGCACAGGAGGGAATATCACTGCCAATTCTGTGCTCTTGGGGTGGGAGAGCTGCTGAAAAAAATGCCTGACTTTGATCAAACTGCCTCAAAATTAAGAATTTCTACTTTATTCTTCCCCCGAAGTATTTAATTTGGGAAGGAAACAATTATAATAATGGAATATAATATTCACTAAAAAAGTCCTAGTTGTATTCATTACATTCATTTTCCTAAGAGATTCATTTAAAACGCCTCAGTGATAAATATGAAATGCACACAAATAAATCAATATTAATTTGCCTAGAGGGGTGTTTTGGTGGTGGCTGAGCAGGATGTTGGTGGACAACTTGGTTACGTGCAAAGGAACAGATTTAAAAGAAAAAAAAAACACAAAAAACAAACAATCAACAAAAACCATCAAAACAAACAAATAAACAAAAACACAACAGAAAAGTATTTTGCATCTTTGAGATGAGGAGCCATCTGTGGGTGCCCATTTCCTGTGCAGGATCCCACTTTAGGAAAACACCTGCACCCACTGCAGTGCTGGAGAAGGTGGCCCTCTCACAGGGAGCAGATGCTCCACAGCTGAAGCCTTTCAAAGGAGACACCTTTAGAGCTCCTGCCCTTATGGGATAACTGAATTATCCATAAATAGTCTTTAAAGGGAGCATTGTCTGTTTAAAAAAGAAAAAAAAAAAAAAAAAAAAAGAAAGGAAAATGAAGTGGGTTTTTGTGTGTGGGTAAAGTAAATACAGTTAGAAATACATGACTTCTTAAAAGCTTTTTGAGGACCCCACACTCACAAAATCTTTTAGGTCATGTGTTTGCTTTGCAAAACATTTGGTAAGTAATAAGTGCCAAGGGACTATATGCACTCCATCTGGAATTAGCAGATTCCTCTTTGTTCAATTGTTCCTAAATTTGGAACCAGCCAACTTGCTTAAAAGTATTTTGATTTGCCTTTAAATAAATATGGGAAATAAACACAGCCCAGGACCAGGAAAGGTACGTTATTAGTCCTCTCCCTGCCTGCATGAGCCATTTAATTCTTAAAGGAGCATTTGACAATTCTAATGTTTGCTGCTGGTTTGAGGTAACAATTTGTTTGGAGTGGTCCATCATTTTTGTTTCCTTTTCATGAATAGTATCAAAGAATTCAGAGATAGACAAAGAATGACTAGTTCACTGAATCCACTCCACTGCCAACACCATTTTGTTCCCTACAGAGTATTTTTTTCCATTTCTTTCTCCAGGTTAAACTTGGAATTAAGAGGTCTGAAGAGAGGTATAAAAGTGGGGATTTCACTCTCTTCTGCTTTCCCTACAAGACAAATATCTCATTTTCATCTCCACCATCTCTGCGTAAGGAAATAGTGTGTCCAAAGATCAAGTAGATGCTTGCTCTTTGCAGGTGTTGTAGATTACTACCTCATCCCTGTAAAAGTTTAATTTTTGCTTGGGGAAAGCAAAAAAGGAAGAGAAAAAGCAGCACTTCTCTTATCTTCCCTGATGTCCTATAACATGTGAGTCTGAGACCAAAACACCTGCTTGTCCTGCGGGCATAGGAAAAGAAACTGTATTTCCTTGAAGGCCCTTAAAAGCTTTTTTAGAGAAAGCATCATGTGATCCATACACAAAACTTTACAAATATGTTTGGGAAAACACTTTGAAGAATTGAAAAAGCAAACTGGAACCCCCCAAAACTGCATCGAATTCATGACACGGGAATTCAGCCGCAGTAATATTTGACACTGCCTGTAAAGCAGAGCTCAGAAAGGTTGTCCAGTGCTGTTACATTTGGCATGTGAAGAATTACTAAGAGGTGCAGATCTGTAGATTTGGGATCCCAGCCTAAGATGTTCAGCCTGTGTATGTTGGTTTGCTTCCACGGACTGGAGTGGAGCGATGCAGGGGATGGATGATCCATCCCTCCACGGGCTGTGGAGAAGGCTTAGGGAGACTCTTTTTCCTAAGCCAGAGCTGGCCTTGGTGAACTGTCTTACCATGCATTACAGAGCAGGATCAAGGTCTTTATTTAGTTCACGGTTGCTCAGAGTCTCCTTTCATCCAACATTTGTTCAAAATCTAAGCAAACATTTTACTCCTGCCTCCAGCTTTCCCGTGAGTGGGAGCAGTGCAGCACGAGCAGATACATATTTTCTCTGTCTCTACAAGGTCTTTTTATTTGGTCTAGATGCACATCTGTAAGTGTTTTACCAGCTCATGTATTCATATATACTGTAAGTCAAAGGAGCTTAAGTTTTCACTTCTTGTTGCTTTGCAATCATTCTGTTTCACAAAGTGCTTCCAATGTGTTGTGTTTCAACAGCCTAAGGCCCTCTCTAAGTCATTATTCTGTTCTTTCCTAGCAAGGAGGAACTGAAACTGTAGTCATAGATTAGCATGGGACACTCAAAACCTAACCATAATCTCTCCTACCTCTTTTCTTATTCCAGTGAATCCTTATCCTGAGGATCAAACCTGTATTTCCTGTGTGCTTGATAAGGATTTGTGAGTGTGATGAAGTATCAGTATCACTCAGCAGGACCTGTTGAGGAGCCAGTGTTTGGGGTTGGCCCATGACAGCACTGATTCATCCTTTTAAAATCTAAACCTGTGAGTATGAGTTCAGGAACTGCACCAAAACTTAATGGAGACTCAGCTGTGTGCACACACCCTAAATTAGGACAGTTCTGCTTTGTTAGGTTAATGATTGGACTTGATGAACTTAGAGGTTGTTTCTAACCTTAATGATTCTGTGATTCCATTATTCTAATTCTTAAAGAGAATGAGCTTTCAGCTTTAAGGACTGTAGTGCCATGGGTTGTTGGCTGTACTTAATGTATTTAATTATATATATAATGTAACACACATGTATATCTATGTTAGGAAATATTTATTAGGATCTGGTGATTTGAAAAGGGAACCACTTTCCAGTGCCTAAAGGGGCTCCAAAAGAGATGGAGAGGGACTATGGGCAAGGGCCTGGAGTGACAGGACAAGGGGGAATGGCTTCAAGGGTACAGAGGGCAGGGTTAGATGGGATATTGGGAAGAAATTCTTCCCTGTGAGGGTGGGAAGGCCCTGGCACAGGTTGCCCAGAGAAGCAGTGGCTGCCCCTGGATCCCTGGAAGTGTCCAAGGCCAGGTTGGATGGGGCTTGGAGCAACCTGGGCTAGTGGAAGGTGTCCTTGCCCATGGCAGGGGGTGGAACTGGATGTTCTTCATGTTTCCTTCCAAAGCAAACCCATTCTGTGATTCTATGAAAAAAGAGTAATTTGTTTCTTCAGTGCCTACAACCTGAGTAAATATACTTGCTATAAAAATGTCACTAATTTTGATAACTTTCTGATAATGTCACTTCTTCAAGGATTTTTTGATGGCAAGAAAAGAAAAAATATTCATTCTTGTTCCACAGAAATTAATAAAAACCTTGTAATTAACATCTACAGGAGGACAGAGCTCCAGTTGCTACGTAAGTGAGAGACTAGTGGTTTCTTTTTGTTTCTGGCTATTATTTATAAATTCTGAACAAGCTACTTTGTTATGAGACTAAACTTATTTGCAACTTGTAAATCTTTTTGACAATGCATATGTTCGTACTTCGCATTTTGTCATCTCCTTTTCGGAGACTACAGGAGTTTCCATCAGTTCATTTACAAAAATTGCTGAGAGGTGGAAAAAGCCTTAGAAAAAGATGAAGCAACTCAGACAACAAGTAGGAGTATCGGGTGGTAAATGAAACAAATGTAAATTTTACAAACAAAGGAAAAGGTTATCAAAGTTTCACTCTCATGAACTGTGGTTTCTTTTAAGGGGTTGAAGGCAAGTGGTTGTGGCAGGCCAGGTTATCACGTTGTGCTATAGTTAGAACTCTGGACTGGTTCTTTGCCGTTGTTTGTTGAGATGACTAAGTTGTCATTTTTAATTAGCTTTATGCTCCTCTCAAAGGCTAATTACTTTATTTTTTTATCAACAATACTTGATTGGTAATGACAAGGGTGCCATGGTTACATATTTTTAGAGAATTCCCTAACCTGCACCGATATATGATTTTCTGTTCCCCCTGGATTCTTTGTGCAGTAAAGCCTTCAATAAAAATAATGGTTAAGAAAAATACAAGTTTATTGTAGATACTGGTGGAAAAAGGTATGTCTTGATTTCTTTTTGGCAGGAAGGTCATTGCTAATGTATTTAGCCAGTGTAAAAAGCCATTACGGTTAGTTTACCTCCCTGCCACTGACACTGGTGCTGCTCTATTACCTTCGCTGAGGTTACCTCGGGCAAACTGAGTTTGAGATCTTCCTTTTTTTTTTTTTATTTTCTCTCTTATTTGTCTGTAGTTGTGCATCTCCTCTGGTCGTCATGGAAATCTGGACTGACTGAACTGCAGACTTATTTCCAAGTGTACATGTTGCACAATCAGACACCGACTTTAGGAGAGTGTTTACTCCCCTGTTTACCAATATTGGCTAGAGGAGCTCTTGAGATAAACACAAGAGGTGCAGTCACAGGTGAAATCTCTCTTTTCTTTAGCCACCTATAGCTTGCTGTAATTTATTCTTGTTTGAAACAGCAGCAGCCCAAAAGGTGATGCTTCTGTGAAGGCTCCCTCGAGGGGGGAGGCAGCAATGGGGGACATAAATACTCCTCTGACATTTTTGAGAAATACAGTTATGCCCAGAGAATCACTACTTTTCTCCTGTCCTGCAAACACATAAATACATGTCAGATGTGTGGTAAACCAAATTCTCTCAGGAGCTTGTCCTGAAAGAGGAAAAGACACAATGATTTAGAGTCTGCATCTGCAGCTCTACAGCTGCTTCGGTACCTGCTGCTGGAGAAGAATTCCCTGCATCAACAGCCTCCTGATGCCGGGGCTTAGAGCTGTTCCTGAAGCAGAAGCCCAAGGAAACTAATGCTGTTCCTAACCTGGAGGGGACAGCCATCATGCAGCTGGAAGGAGAGTGGTTGTTCCTGCTGCCAGATGTCCCATCTGACATCACCTCCACTGCCACTTCGCAAGGGGAAGGGGATTCCCTGATGACGGCAACTCTTGTCGCACTCCCCAAAATCTGTTGAGAGCAGGATTAGAGGAGGTGTCTTCCTCAACTAAAGGGAAAGTCAGTATAATGGGGTGCTGGCATGGCACATCTGTGTGCTCAAGCTCACAGGAGGAGCTCCTGAAGGGTGTGCTTGGCTGTGAAGGCCCGCTGGAATGTCTTCAGTTGTAGGGACCACATGTGGGACAACTCTGTAACAAGGCCGCTGAAGATGTGAGGATGTTCTGCAGTGAAGGCTCACACAACCCCTGTATTTTGATGTTTTCCTGCTTGACCATAGATGGGGAATGTGGCAGCTCCAGCCACTGTGGCAGGACAGTGTGATTCCTTGCACTCTACATGTAAAAACCACCCTCTCATCTCGTAAATGAGCCAGAAACACATCTGTGACTTCAGTAATTAAAAAAAAAAGGTTTAATTGCTTACTGATGTTAACACTAAAGAGCAAAAAGAGAGAGACAGGTAAGGTGGGCTGGCAACCACTGGGACTCTGGGAAACAGGCACTTGGCTCCCTGCTTTCCTCTGCTGTCAGGAAAATTGATAGGACTGGATCCTAGTGGTAGCACGTGCCCAAATCCTTTGGAATTCAGTGAAAATCAGTGGCTAAACATTGTGGGTGTCTGAGTTTAATCTCTGTATACCTCAGCTCCTCATCTGTCCTATAACTATAGTAATTTGTATATAGTAATTCTTCCCTGTTTATAATAAAGTATAATGATAAATATGTTAAGGAAAACAAGGTACTCAGTTATGGTTGTCTCTGAAAATATATCTATATATAAAATATCTAAGCAAAACCTGCTTGCATTTGGTTTTTTTTAGTTTTAATTATGTTGTATTTTTCAATTTTAGAGAGAAGTGCTTGATGAATTGGTTATTGTGTTCCTCAGCCCAATAATCTGGGCACAGTCTCCTCTCCAGAAATTCACTAACAGCAAGAATCAACAAGAAGGTAAGGACTCAGCTCAACTTTTAGAAATTGGCCTAATAATATTCTTTTCTCAATGCAAAACTCAGCCCTTTTCACTTTCAGACTAACTTTCAGGCTTTCTATGTGGTGCCTTGCTTCCAGTATAAATAAATGATCCCACATTCCGTCATGATAACATATGCTCATGCAGAGCTCAAAATTAGAAGGAATATGAAGTGTTCTATTAATTGCATGAATGTTGATTGTTAAAATCATGTGCTAATTGGTAATATCTGTGTGCAGTAGGTTCCCGCAATATGTGTTAGATTACATTAACTGTGCTCGTGACTCAGATATCAGCATTATGGGTTTCATGGAAGGATTTTTTTTTTTTGAAACTTTGTGTAATTAGGTTCTATAGATTATCAGTGGAGAAAAATTAGTGGAAGGCTGTGTAAAGGGCATGTGAAGTTAGAGGCACGAGGAATAGGGAGCTCTAAAGATGCATCTGCTCCTCTTTCTCATGGTGTGCTTTCCCCCACACCCTCTCCAAATTCTCACCATGTTTGTCATAAGGTAACTCCCAGGGAATCAACCACGAGCTCTTTCTCACTACTGTGGTGATAGCAATATCCATTTGAAAGTTACCATCTTTTTTGAGTGGACTTTCTCACTTTTCAGTCTTTTCCTTTGCCTTTCCCAGGCTTTGATCCAAGAAGCATCCAGGTACATTACAGATAAATTAGATTATCACTGTACTCACCTACCAGTGGGGCAGTTGAGCATAGTTAGCAACATGACTCTCCTGTACCAGATGTGCTTCCTCTCCATTCCTAATCCCTGGGGGAAAATTCATATGGATCTGTTTTGTTCACTGATGTTTTAATTTTATTGAGTGCCACGAGTATTTATTAAAATAGGCAAGGTAGAAGCAACTGGAGCTTGGAGCTAAATATAGTAAGTTATGAGTGTTTTTAGGAAATATAATGGTTACTTCCCCTCTCTGTGTGACTGAACACAGCTTTGCAGTGGTGAGGGAGCAGGAGATGAGCCTGGAATGAAAACATAGAGATGCATTTACTCTGTAATACTTAATATATGTTATATTCTGTGGACTCATGCGTTCCCATTGACACACGAGGAACACACTGGCCTTTGCTTCTGCACCTACACTGAGAGCACCCACACTGGTGCTGGCACAGAGCATCCTCCTCGTCCTCCTCAGCCATTGCAGCAAATGTACTCAGCTCTGGTGTCTGCTGAGCTTTTCCCAGTCCTCCCTGGAGGAGTCCCAGTTCGAGCTCCTTTTCCGTGCGTTGCTGGGGTGGAATGAGCTTGTTGAGTTAGGCTTGAGGGCTGGGGCTCTGAACTCGCCCACATCTGGGAGTTTTCATCAGGAACTGTAGTGATAGGAAAAGGAGTGTTGGGTTCAAACTGAAAGAGGAGAAATTTGGGTTAGATATATGGAAGGAATTCTTGGCTGTGAGGGTGGGGAGGCCCTGGCACAGGTTGCCCAGAGAAGCTGCCCCTGGATCCCTGGAAGTGTCCAAGGCCAGGTTGGATGGGGCTTGGAGCAACCTGGGATAGCAGAATATGTCCCTGCCCATGGTAGGGGGTGGAATGAGATGATCTTTAAGGTCCCTTCCAACCCAAATCATTCCAGGATTCAGTGATCTTCCTTAGGAAACTTTTACAGTGGTTTCTGCCGAGTATTACCTGGGGAACAAGCTGAGTTGGAGAGACTCTTATAAGCCAATGATAATTACTCCCCTAACAAATGATCTTCTATCCAAACCCTTTTTGCCCCACCCTGTGTAAATCCACCTATATTTTGTGCAGGTTGGTCAGATTTTGAGGCCAGCTGTGTAACACATATTTGGGATATTGTACCCACTGCAGTGTGAACTGGTGGGAAGGGGTGGGAACAGACCACCTGAGTGGCGCATGAGCCATAACCCAGCAGATGCTTTTTGGTGGTTTCTGACTTTAAATTACATATAAGATCTTTGAATTAGCTTTTTTTCTTACAGTGATTATATTTTGAGGGGCTGACATAATTTAAGGAGGGTCAAAGCCAGTTGCACTTGCCCTGGAAAAGGTGTTGCTGGACCCCTGCCCTGGTTCATTCCTAATAATGCTTTGGGATACATACCCTTAACTCATACAAGGTTCTGTATTTTCAGAGAGGAAGACTGAAAATGTAAAAAAAAAAATATAAAATAAAAATAAAAATATTTAGAGAAAGACCAGACAGATTTTTCTGTTGTTAAGAGAAAGAAAAAGTTTAAACACTTTGAATGTTTCATGAGTTGCATTGAGAAAAATATTTAGAATGAAACTCCTAAGTAGCATAATTTTAATTCGTTTTACAGTGGACCAACTTGGTAATGATGCAATGAATTAAAACAGGTTGTCTGGTAGGAAAAATGGATGCAGTTTTGGTAAAGAGAGCATTTACAGAAGTGTTAGAAGTCTTGAGCCTTCTCAGGGCTATTACTCTAATATCTCTTGATTTACTGATCTTGAAACAAGCAAACCTCATGGGTTCACGAGCTTAATGTTAAGGCACACTTCATCAGTTGTCCTGAGAAATGCAACAGATTTAAGAGGAAATCAGTTTTAGCCCCCATCCAAAATGTTGACACTGAATCAAACAGAGCATGAACTATATTCACAGTTTTAATTAAAAGAAAAACTGACAAATTACCAGCATTCTAGTGTTCAGAAGATGGTTATCTGTTATAGAAATATGTTTTCTAATGCACATGCTCTCATACATGAAATAGTTTCTAGATTTATTTTATTATAATTGTAAACTATGGCATGAACACTTAATCTTACCTACTTAAATAATGTTTTCCAATTTCTTAGCAACTCTTCCTCCTCCCCCCACCTCTGACTCACCAAGTGATGCATTGAAAAGGATGAACAAATTTAGTAGACAAGATGACCACCAGAAATATGTGATAAAACTAACAAACAAAAATAAAAATTAACCAGAAGGAAATTGCTTGCTAATTTTTAATCTGAAATGGCTACCAGCCTTCCAAAGGTTAACTGTCAAATTAAATAACATGGACATACAATGGTCACTGGCTACCTGGGGGAATGAACTGTTAAATTACTTACTTCAATGCACATAGTTTACAAAGAGATTAAATCCTCTGTCTCTGTGGAAACTTTGCCTATTCCAGGGCAGGTTTTGTTCCCCCCATACCCAGGAGGACCCAACCACTGGTGGGAACACCAGGGGTAAATAGCATACATTTCCAGGGAGGTAAAAGTAAACTCGGGAACAGGGCAAGTTATTGTACCATGGGGAATAATAAAAATCAGTTTGCTCTAATTTCCTTCGGACTGCTAAAAATTTAGCTAAATATTTGGAGAGCGACTTTTCACATGGGCATGGAGTGATGGGACAAGGGGGAATGGTTATAAACTGACAGAGGGTAGGGTGAGATTAGATGTTAGGATGAAGTTATTGACCGTGAGGGCGGTGAGGCCCTGGCACAGGTTGCCCAGAGGAGCTGTGGCTGCTCCTGGATCCCTGGAAGTGTTCAAGGCCAGCTTGGATGGGGCTTGGAGCAACCTGGGATAGTGGAAGGTATTCCTCTCCACAGCGAGGGGGTTGGATTAGATCTCTAAAGTCCCTTCCAACCCAAAGTGTTCTAGGACTCTGTGAACTGGCAAACCCCCTCCCTCTGCATGTTGTGTCACCGAGGGGCAGAGTGGAATTGCTGAGATCCGTGTGCCAGGCAGGATTCTGCAGTGTTGGGCTCTGCTCTGTGCAGGGGCAGGAGAGCTCCGGTGCACCCAGGACTGGGGGACGTCACTAATTTTAACGAAGCCAAAGGGACCCCAGTACAATGCTGGATGCATTACTGTGGACTGTTCTTTTCCCGTTATTCTTTACTCCATTGTTCCAAGCTGGCAGGACTTGGCAGCCTGGGAGGAGATGTCTCTGCATAACTTGCTGTCCTCGAGAGCCACTCCAGGGGACAGCTGAGGTTCACGGAGGGGCTGCGGTGGCCCCAAACAGCCTGATGATATCTGGCCCTAAAATCAGGCAGGGACTTTGGCTGATTCTGATAGTGAGAACAAGGGGCTGCTGCCAGTTGGCTCACGGATGCTCCAAGTGTGCCGGTGGTGGGAGAGGAGCGATGTCTGACAGCAGAAACATCTCTCCCAGCGCTGCTCTCACCAGACTGCAGAGCTGCATCTTCCACTGGTGCCCCAGCAACAATCTTGGACTCCAGTGCAGCCACCCTGGTGCCTGCAGGGCCAGAGTTGGTCCCAAGGGTCACTCCTGGCTTTTCCCATTGGTGAGCTGTGTGTGCAGTCCATGTGAGCATCGGGGGATGCTGGAGGCTGTTCCTGCTTGACCATTCAGTGCATTCCTCAGGACATTCTAAAAGATTTTTTTGTTACCTATCAGGCCACTGGAGTGGCAGAAATTATTTCTCCCCTCCCTTTAAGAGCTATGTTTTTCTGCTGTTAATCCACACCATAAAAGCCCCCTAAACATATACTGTGAAAAATGTTATGCCTACTTAAGCAAGATAGTTGCCTGTAATAGTGTGCCATAAAGCAATCTGAAATGTTTATTGTCTGTTCCCCAACTGCAGTTTTATTTCTTTTCAGCAGTTTTTGTGTCCACAGGATTTTCTTCACTATGAAAGATTCAAAAGAAGTTTTTTCCTTTCCCTGCAAACACAGTGATTACTTGTCCAGTAGATCCTCCTGCCAGTGAAGATATGTGCAAGAATTTTTTGCAAAACTTCCAGCTTCCTAAACTTTTTCCAGGAAAAAAACACATTGTTTAAATCAATAACAAGCCTTGATATGATAGGCTTTAAAGGGCAGACTGACTTCCAAAGGAGCAGATAATGTTAAACAAGATGTCTTTTGTAAAGGCTGAAATAGGAAATCAGGAAAAGCAAAGGGGAAAAAAAAAAAAAAGGGGGGGAAAAAAAAAAAGCCAAGGTTAGGGGGTGGTAAAGATGTTGCTGCTGGATCTAACTCCTGAGACACAATGTGCATTTCATTGCCACGAATAAACTGTATCCAGGGAACGAGCAAATGAAAAAGTGAGGACAGGAGATATCTTATTTTTGTTGTTTGTTTCCAAAGAGTCCACCCCCACATAGGTCACTTGGAATTCATTTGTCTACATCCTGGACTGCACGTAGGGGAAAAAAAAATAAAAATGCCTGGGATCTGAGAAAGAGGAATGCGATAGGGCATGGGAATCACAGCGTCACGGTGGTCACCAGAGCATAGTTTGGCTCGTCTTAAAACAAGCAAGCACCGTTGGACCTCTGTAATACCAGCAAATCGGCCGTGCTATCGGGCTACCTATCAGAGCCTGAGTGCCTGAGAAAAAGTGTGTGGGATTTCAGCCGGAGCCTGGGGCGTTGGAGGGCTCTCGGAGCTGCTGCTTTCCTCTTGACATCCAGTACTACTCGGTGACCTCGGCAACAATCCAGTGTACTGTTACAGTTCATTTCAATAATTAAACAGTGCAGGGATGGCAGGGCTTTCTTGTTGTCAATAGAAAATCAGGGCTGCAGTTTGCTTGCTTTTTTTTTTTTTTTTCCCTCCTCTCTCCCTTCCCCTTTCCCTCCGCTGAAATCCGAAGTGTTTGTTTTTAATTATATTAGCTAGAGACAATTAATTTCACAATCCGAACGAAAAAATAAAAAAGGTTTTGAGAGGAGGACTGGCAACTGGTAAATGCAATTATTACTGTAGCACATTTTCAAAAGGAGAGATCCCAGCTCCAACAAAGTCAGATGTATAAAATTTCAGTCATAGGATACAGTCTCAAACAGCAGATTTACTCTGCAAAAGATGGGAACTGCTCTCCCATCTGGAACTCTGTTCTGTTCATGCCACGTGGACCCGTTTGATACCCACTCCGAGAAACCACCAGCCAGCAAAATAGACCCCTGCCCACAAGCTGCTCCAAGAACCTGGTTGATGTGCCCCTTTAAACTTGCCTGACGTAGAGATGATTAATACCAGCCCCTTTTTAAGTGCAGCCTCTCTACAACAACTTCAAAAACCCCACTCTGTGCGAACGGCAGCATTTACATTTCTGCTGTCGGAGCAGAAAATGAAAATAATTCAACTTTATGCCTCGCAAAATTTCCTACAATTAAAAAACTATTTTTTTTTTTTTTAGGTGCTGCTGGCTGTGCCCCTTTCATTGCCCATCTGGCTGCCTCCCAGCTGCTCCCTGGCTGACTCTGTGCTCGGCTCCCAGCGTGGTGGGAGCTGCTGCTCGTCGCTATCGCCGTCCCTTTTTCTCAGCATTGGTCTGCAGGATGGTGAGGCCACAGTCTGGCCTCACTTACCCTGATTTACTTTTATGGGATTCAGTCAAAATGCTATGGATTTATACCACTGAGGCAAACAGCAAAGTTTAACTCTATGTGCTGGGAGTGCTGGAAGTGCTTTGGGTCCGTGGGGAATGTTTTCTGCCAGCCCCGGTGACAGCAGTGCCGGCCCCTCTGCTGACACACAGCCAGTTCCCACTGTCACACTCCTATTGCCTTGTCCACGCTTATTTTACACGCCTCACAGAGTTCTTACCTTTTTCCATTTCCTACCAGTGTCACTGACATAAGAATATTAAACCAAAATATACTGAGACGTCGCTTCTTTGGGGCCGGCATCTGACATCCTTATTCCCAGCGAACAGTGCTTTGTTTCCCAAAGAGCTTAATCCTTTCAGTGGGGCAGCTGCAGAGGGAATACTGGATCCACAGAAGGGCTCTGACATAGCTATGCTTAAATTGTAGGCCTGGTAGATTACTGGAGCTTGAGATAGGAGTTAGGGAGTCTTTGCAGGTCGTACGGAGAAAGTTGGGCATTGTGGGTCGGGGAAGCACAGCTTCAGGAATTTAACTGGGAAAACACCTTTATTCCACAGCTGAAGCATCCTGATGGAGGAGGCATCCACTCCTTGGCACCACAGTGGACATCCCTTTCCTGGTGCTCACCCCCAGGCAGGATGCTAAGGAGCCACCCCGCTTCCGTGCAGCACCTTCACTGTGTAAGTACCATCCCAGCCCAGGGGAAACCCAGCTCCAAGGTCATGATTTTCCTCAGGGGACCCAGCCCTACAGAGCCCTTGTTTTAAACCTGTGAAAGGGAAATGTTCACTTCATGCAGTTGTAATGGAGTCCTTGTTTAAGCAGCCCCAGGCTCAGACCAAAAGCTGCAGTGCGGCTTCAGAGAATCACAGAATGGTTTGGTTTGGAAGGGACCTCAAAGCTCAACTTGACCTTGACTTACCAAGGCATTGTCAGAGAGTGGCTCTGGTGGCATTTGGGTGGTGGTAACCTCTATTGCCGCTCCTTTTGGAGGCTGTTAAAACATTTGACATTAAAATACTAAACACAAAGTCGCCTATGGACTCCAAGCACCAAGCAACAGCTGTATGAGGATTATTTTCTGTATTAAAGGTCTAAAGCAGGAGTTAAACACAGATCTGGTTTCAAGGCACAAGGCTGCAGGTGAGGTTATGAGCTTGGCCTTTGCAGTTCACACCTCCAAGCGTGACAGGCCTCTCACCTCTTAATGATTGGACTCGATGATTTTAGAGTCTTTTCCAACCTTAATGAATCTAGGACCTACTAAACCACCCTTAGGTGGAAGAGCAGGCAAAAATATCCCCTGTGCATCCAAATTTGCAGAGAGTGGAGAAGCAGCTGGTGAAGGTGCAGCCACTTGTGGTGAAGCTGCTCTTGCTTTCCAGGAGGGCTCCCCAGAATCTTGCTGAGCTGTGCTGATGCCATACCAAGATCAGAGAGACCAGCCTTGCCCTTTGCCTGTGTTTCTGGTTCCTTTGCTTGCTCTTTTTTGGCGGGAGGCGGGGAGGAGAAAACCTTGCAGAGCTGAAATGAAATATTAAGCCTCATTCTTTCCAGGTAAACACATGCCAAATCTCGCAACGATGTTGGCAGGCTCCCAAAGTTGCAAAATAATGAAGAAAACATTGAGTTTAGGACTTCGTGCCCATTTTAGCAACATTCCTTGTAAGTGCAATTAAAGCTGCCACTGATTTGACCTCAGGAAACACTGCAAACATAAAGGTACAGTGGAGAGCTAAAAAATAACCTAGAAAGGGGTTTGAAGTATCATCTTATATCTGAAATCTTGCTCTTAAAGGGAGAATAAATAAATTAATTGTTATTTGAGGGCCACTGGAATCCTAGTCTGCACATCCATGGTAGGTCAGGTCTGTCAAGCCCAGCATGAGCTGTGGTGCCCATGATTACAGTGGCTTTGAGCATCGCTTGGGGCTGTGCTGCACTGATTTGCTCTATGGGCACGTCACTTAACGCTTGTTGATGTAGCTTTTGCACACATCTGGACCACCTGGGAGGGTGCCTTTCACACAGTTGGCCCAGAGGTGCTTCCCCACAAGAGAGATCCAAACCTTGCCTGCAGGATGGGGCAGTAAAAGAGTATAGTGATGTATAAAGGTTGTTTAAGGACATTTAAGGACTTGCTATTACCACTATTGGTGAATGTTGTACCTTTTTTTTTGTTGTTGTTGTTTTGTTTGTTTGTTTGGGTTTTTGTTTGGGGTTTTGGGGGGGTTTGTTTGTTTGTTTGGTTTCTGATTGTTTGTGGTTTCTGTTTGTTTTTTGTTTTGTGTTAGACTTCAAAATTAAACATCGGAAACACAGAAGCCCCTGGTGGTACCAGCTGACAAATGCTGCTGTTACATCCATGGGTGACACAGACTGTCCTCACTTTTGTCCTGACACAGCTCCCTAATTCAGTTCATAAGAAAGACCTGAGCTGCCTGAACATCTGTTAGAAACTGCAGCTGAGGAAAAAAACTAATTGTCTCACTCTGGACTGGGAGACTTGAACCTACTGCCATCGGTTTCAGTGGTGGGGGCTCAGACCCACTGAACTCTGGTTGGCCCCTCAAAATAGACTGGGAAACCAGCATTTTATAGCTAGGTGGTTGTTTCTTTTGGAGCCAGGAATTGCAATCCTAATGACATGATTGCAGCACAGAAAAGTGATCTGAAGTAATAAAACAGAGGATATTTACCTTGAGGACGGTCGTGTTTTGTTGTATATTTAAGAGAAATAACATGCTTGGCTAAGATGCCTTTAGCACAGGGTTGTTGGTTTATTTTTTTGATTGGTGTTTTTATTTCTTTTAAATATGTAGAGGGTTCCAAGCAGAGTGACTCATAAGAGCAAGGCTCCAATTCCTGTTTCGTTAGCTGACTCCGTAGATGTGAACTGAGCTGCTGGGAAGGCAGGAGCTGCTGCAAACATATTACTACTCATTAACCAGCAACTTTAACTTTGTGGTGCTTCGTATTTATTCTTTTTTTTTTTTTTTTTAATGCCTCTGCTTGTGATACATTTTGTGACAGTGAGCAGGAGTTTGTTATCATTTGATTGATGACGGCTGAGCAAAGTTTTTAGTAGGGGCAAGGGGAGATGGCTGGGTAGAGACATGGGCATAAGGTTGGAACAGAACTTCTGATCTACAGGTGCCTCTACTGCTGAACTCCATCCCTTTTGAAAACTTGGGTAGTTATATCTCGGAACAGTTAGGTTTCCTGACTCCACTCCTGTAGTGAGGAGGCAGCACAGCCTCAGTTCTCTGTTGCTGCAAGACCTTCTCCTACTTTGCATTGCAAATATATGTATGACTAATTTAAACCCACTTGCTTTTTCTTTTTCCTACTATTCTCTCTTCGGTTTTCTCTTTAGCTGGAATAATGTTTTCTCCTCCCTGCCCTTTGCAGACTGATAGTTTCCCTAACACTGAACCCATTTTCTTGGAGCTTCAGCCGAACTGAAGCTTTATTTCAGTTAATCTTCAGCATACACTAGATTTCAGAGCAAGCTTTACCAATCCTCCCTACCAGGATATTTCCACTTCCTTCTGGAAACAGTTCACCTGATGCACCCTGAGACCATGCTGTCCCTTTGACTGGGTTACATAAATGGCTAAAAAGTATCAGCTAAGAAACTCAGATGTATATTCTCCTCATTGCCTCCTGCTTGTGCTGGGTAGAATTAAATTTAGCAAGTTTATGATAGATGACAATTCATAAAGTTTTTCCTAATTTTTTATGCTTTTCTACTTCTGTCTGGAATGAGGGGCAAAAAAAATCTTTCCTCTCAGTCTAACCTTGGAGTCTCTTGCTCAAATGAAGTGTTCACTTGGAATAAAGGGACTTAAGTCTGAAATGGAAACTGCAGAGATCTCTGCTGGCCTTTCTTTCAAGGCATTGTCTGGAGTCTATGTTCATGTGACACTGCTAGCAGCTTTCACCCACTTCATCTCAAAAAATAGACCAAACCAGTAGTTTCAACATTATTGATTTATATTTATATCCATTATAATGGTGAAAATCTGACAGTCATGAGCTCATCTCTAAAACGGGGAATTGCTTTCTTACCTTCCACCAGGAGCTGGGAAACACATGAAGCCCTTTCCCACAGAAGGGAGCAATTCTGCTGCCTCTGGGGTGGGGCACTTCTCCCATTCCCTTCCCCAAACTGACTTTAATGCAGTTGCTCTGTCTTGGTGCAGTGGTATCTCCCAAGGGTATCTGTACAAACAGCGATCAAGCAAAATGTCACAGGCAAGAGCCAAGTCGAGACTTGGACTTCTCTGTTTTAGATGCCAAACCCTCTGTCATCCCTGACTAGTGAAAATGTAAGAGAGAACTTAATGCATTTTTTTGTTCTTTAGGTGGCAGAAGTCATGGGAGAAGATAATCGGGCCTGGAGGACAGAATGCAGAATTTGGTTCAGGAGAAACCCAGTAAACCCAAAACAGGAAATGGAATTTAATGAGGTACTTTTATCTTTTTTTATTATCCTTTTCAGATTCCAGAGCCTCAGATAAGAGTGTGTTTCGATACTTGCTTCAGCCAAAAATCTGAAAATGTCCTCTAAACCATATTCATAGCAGCAGAGTCCTGCCTGAGTTCCTCCTGTGCTCAATTCACCCTGTGTTAACACATGTGCTGCATAAATATCCCTCACTCAATATCAGGGTTTGGCACATTTGATCCTTGGCTTCACGAGAGTGAGAACTATTAACTCTGGAAAGAAATTAGTGGAGAATAAATATACATCTTGAAGAGAAGGCAAATCAGCATGTGAGCCATGTCTCTGGTGGTATCCTGGTGACTCTTTCCTGGCACAGTGGGTTTGAATACTGGCTAAGGGTGCCCCAGGGGCACTCTCTCACTGCTCACTATGAGTCTGAGCTCTGTTTGTCCTATGTAGAGGTAAATAAAAGCCTCCATAGGCTATACCTTGGGATCAAGCTGGAGAGGGCTTGGCTTCTCATCAGCTGTGTGTGAGGAGCCTCCAGGAAAGATGAAGAAAGACGTTTTACACAGGCAGGTAGTGAAAGGACAAGGGGAAATTTGAGGGTGGTGAGGCACTGGAATAGGCTATCCAGAGAAGTTATGCATTCCCCATCCCTGGAAGTGTTCAGGACCATATTGGATGAAGCTCTGAGCAACTTGGTCTAGTGAAAGGTATCCCTGTCCATGGCAGGGGAGTTGGAAGTAGGAGATCTTTAAGGTCCTTTCCAAGCAAGGCCATTCTATGATTTCATAATCCTCTTTTCAAGTATTTCACTTTGCAGAGTGGACATGATATATGTGAGAAGAAAAAGTGGAAAGATTTATACCCAAAGAACTCCATTGTTACCTTGTACTAGTTTTATTTTCTCTTACTTTGTTGAGCATCTGGGATTGAGATGGGCTGGTTGTAGGGTGAGGTGGGGGTCCCTTCCCTGATATTTAGCACACTCAAAAGAAGCAGGGATAGGATCAGCACTGCAATGCTGACCAAAAAAATTAATGATGCTGGACCAGTATTCCTTTGCTATCACTTAGGTCCTTTTTAATTGATATTTGAGCAGAACAATGTTATTCAGTGCTGAACAAATGGACTCATGTATTACCACTGTCAAGTGTTTACTCTTGGCTCACCTTCAATCTGTTACTGATTAATGGAAACACAAAATATCCCCTGGCTGTGCTCTTGTTTTACCATGTTAGTTAATACTCAGTTGCTGCATGGAAAAGGGTTCGTGGTAAAGAGTTTTACTGTTTTTGGTTGTCAGTGTGGTTTTCTGGCAGGGCATACTGTTGATTTTCCTTGTGGATGTTGGGGCAGTCAGAGTATTACAGAGTGGGATGTGACCTGGAGCTGCCCTGGTAAGTCACTTCTAGCACACTCAGATGTCAGCAGTTTAATGCAGAGTGGGTTAAATCTGACTTTCAGGCCTTGTAATTTGCTATTTACTGTTTTGCCTTTCAATTCTAATTACCTTCTAAAAAGATCTACAGGAAACTAGTCCATGCCTTTGGAGTTACTTTAACTACCCTTAGAAAAGTCAGCTGCTCACCACTGGCCTAATAAATAATTCCAGGAGAAGGGCAGAGCTCCTTCTACCACAGTGAGTCCCACCTTTCATGGCTGTGGACTTTCCCCATGCAGAGGGCAGGATGCAAGTCCATGCTCTGGAAATGAGGCACTTAAAGTTATGAAAGAAGCATTATTTATTATTATATTAATCATATAATAATTTTCCTTCCCAAAGGAGGATCCAGCTCTGGATTTCAAACCACAGACTTAATAGATGTGTTTGAATTCTAGCACCTGGCTAATTCCTTCCTAACCTTCTGAAAGTTTTGTCCCAGTTTGTTCAACCAAAAAAAAACACACCCCAAAACACAACTGGAAACCACTAGAAAAACATAAAAATGTCTGATTTATGCTGGATATCAGAGAAAAAACATCTTATCCCCTCTGATATGCTATCTATGAATCTAGAAAATTTTGGCTGACTCATGAGAGTCCCCGAATGACAGTAGATGTTGGCAGATATATTAAGAAGAGCTCAGCAATTTTTTCATATCCATACAGAGGCGGGGGGAGATGGGTGCATTAGCTGTTGGTAAAATTACTGAGGGCTCTGCAATAAAGTTTAGTAAACTTTTTACCTTCCATAATCACGGCCTTACCTGGGTCAAAAGCATTAGTCATGGATATTCATTGCAAACTGCAAGCCCATAAAAGACGGCATATGGCAGCACCGAATTTCTTGCTGTATAAAGTTAAATTCATAGTAATAACATCTGCGCAGAATTTAGTGCCCCACCAATTAAAGTGAGGTCAATGTACTGAGGCAAAGATTGATGGCATTCTGCAAATCTTAAAACGACAAGTTAAATAGGTATAAAATAAACAAACAACTTTATTTCTTATTAAAGACCGGACAAACGGGGTGAGAATGCTGAGTGCTCGGTAATGAGGGCCAAGAGGAGCCTGTAGTGCTGGGGGTTGTGTTACTGGGTTGTAATTCAGCAACCTCAGGAGGGGCAGGCACTGAGCTCTGCTCTGGGGGGACCAGGGACAGGACCCAGGGAATGGCCTGAAGCTGTGTCAGGGAAGGTTGAGGTTGGATCTCAGGAAAAGGTTCTTTCCCCAGAGGGTGGTTGGCACTGAACAGGCTCCCCAGGGCAGTGGTCATGGCCCTAAACCTGACAGAGATCAAGGAGTGTTTGGACAACCCTCTCAGGTACATGGTGGGTTTGTTGGGGTGTCTGTGCAGGGCCAGGAGTTGGACTTTGATGATCTCTGTGGGTCCCTTCCAGCTCAGGATATTCCACAATTCTGTCCTCTGCTCAGATTGGCTGCTTAAAGTGTATAAGGGAGGAGAGAAATTAGACAATGTTTTAACTATATCTGTTTTCATATTTATGCTCTTCCCTCATTTTTAAACATTTTTAAATGAACAATGGGCAATGTACCCCTGCCAGAGAGACAACACAATTCCAGTTATAGGCAGGGAACAATTCTATCATAACTTAGGTTCTAAGTTGTTTATTCAGTTTGTTTTGTTTTAAACATACAACACAAATGTTCTAAAGTGATCTTTGCCTTCAAGTTTTCAGTGTGTTCTGTAGGGTTTGCAGGGAGAGAGAGGGTGAAATTGAAAGTGGTGAGTAGAACCAACATAATTGGGGTAACCCCACCCTGCAACTCTTCCTTTGAGTCACTTTGTGTGTCCTGTCTCTACTTGAGATTTAAGAAGTTTTTGAAGTTTTCTGAAGGCAAAAGTACTGGTGAATACTATCCATTTAAAAAGGTGGAGTTCAGTAGGTACTTACTCAAATCTGCAGGTACAACCTGAGGATTTTAAACCAACATGAATTGAAAAAGATGAAATTATGCCTTACCTGAAGCCTATGTAGAGGGAATAGGAATAAATGGGAAAATGTTTTTTGCTCTGTTGTGAAGCTGGAGACAAGGAAACTTTTGCTTGCTTTTTCCCCGTGCAGTAACATGCAAATGAAGCGTGAAACAGAAATTTGTCTGAAAACAGCCAGGAACAGCATCACTAAAATAACAGAGCCATCAAGGAAAACCCAAACCCAGGGCACAGCTGAGAGAAATCGCAGAAAACTGGGACTAACACTCACCACATTGATGGGGAAAGGTGATATTTCAAAGGGAATAATCAATTGGAAGTAGATAGACTTTTTTTTTTTTAAATTTAATTATTTAATTTAGAATAGGGTGGATAAAGAAAATTATTATATAATTGATAAAGCCTGCTACATCACTATTTCTCAACAAATCCTGCTCTTGTGTGTGTCCAGTGCACCAAGCTGACCAACCACACTGCATCTGTACTCATGATTTAGTCACAGAATTACAGAGTTTTCTGTTTCCAAAGCAGGAAAAAGACTGGAATACCTTGTTGGAAGGACTAGCTGGGCAAGAAAAAAATATATCCTGCTGACCAAAAAATGAAACCATGTGTGAACAATGGAAGTGGTGTACTGGTTATCTTTAAATCGATGTATTCACCAGCGTCATTTTTTACTGAGGGTTACCCTGGCAAGCTCTTTGTTATCATAAAGGAAACTCATGGTTGGCAGCTCAGTGCAGTGGTCATTCACTAAAAATGAGAATTTAGTATCTTCTGGCATTGTATCAATTGCCAGTAAAACTCCAGCAAAACCTTATATATAAACTAACTCTGAATATTGACTCAAAATTTGGAAGAGTGAGTACATTTCTTAATTTCAGAGATGAGCCTGATCTTTTCTCTTTTTTTCTCCTTCTGTAAAGAATAATAATGTCTTATTTAGAAAAACTTGTAATGTTTCTGGCCTGCACTCAGTATCTTGTACAGCTTAAACACTGGATTTTGTTAAGCATAGAGAGAGACTTTTCTTGGCTTGGGATTCATCCAGGGAAAAATAGGTATGCCATGGAAGTATGCAGGAAAGGCAATAGGTGATGATGTTCTTTTGACTGCACTTCCCAGCCAAGGTTGTATCATGTTTCTTGGATACCAAGGAGCTTGGAACTGAGGAATTATCTGATGGATTTACAATTTGGAAATGTTTTACCTCAAAAAAGCCCCGGTGTGCCAAAAGCAAGTAGTTAAAAGGAAATGTCTTTGTTTTCAGAAAGGTTCTGCTGGAAGTGGGGTAGGCTCAGTTTCTGGAGAGCTCAGCCACCCGTGCTGGTGGCAAACAGGGACTTCCCGGGCGTGGCCCCAAATCCTGCCAGCTTTTGGATTCAGCTCCTCCAAGAAGGACCTCCTGCCTGCAGAGCTCCTGTATTACTAAGCCCTACGGCAATTTTGGTGGGAAAATCTCCCCAGATCCAGGAAAGGAGTCAGACCTGGAAGCTGCTGAGTAAACTGGGACCACATCTGGTGCCACTTGTGTCATCCCCATCGCTCTTATGGGCAGCTGCTGTCAGGCCACAGAGAGTGGCTTGCAGTGCACAGCTCTTAGTCTGTTTTGTTTCTAAAAAAGGATTTTCAGCCTTTGATATTTTAGGAGAAATTTTGAAAAATAATCGATTCTGATTTGAAATTAAAAACACCACAAAACACCCAAAAAACAAAAAAGCCCCCAAAACATCACAGCAGCTTTATAAATGGCAAACAAAACAAAACCAACCAAACAAAAACCCCCAAAACAAACAAAAAAGGAATTCAGCCAGCTACAGTTGTCATTTCCAGGACTTTGCATATTTATGTTCAGTAAGGAGACAAAAACCTTTGGAAAAGTGGAGGTACTGCCTGTTTGTGTGCGGAAAAGAGCAATTTCCTCAATTTCTTTCTACTGTCATGCAGTTTACACGTGAGTTATTAGTTGTACCTTGTTTCCATCCCAAAGAGGAAGGTTTTTCATTGGATGGTAAGGCTTGTGCTGTTTGTGTGCTGAGTATTAATTAGTTATTACTCATAAGGATTCTAGAGGAGAAAAAGTTTGGCTAGAGCTGGCAGAAATGTACTCCAGGTGCTGTTGAGGCAGCAAATTCTAATGCTAAAATTCAAATTTTAAAAATGTTATATGAAGACATGAACTAGGACTCAGTTTTGTCTCTTCTCAGAGGTGCCTGTGCTCTGACAACCACATGGGCTGAGAGGAGTCTGGCCAGCACCACACATGATCAGAAATAGAAATCCTGACTTCAGCCAGAAGTGACTGGAAGAGTTTTGGCTGGATGTTGCACAAAAAGGTTTGTGTACTCACAGGTTCCTGGGAGAAAAGCTTGCCAAGGCAAAAAATAACCCACCTCAAAAATGCTCTCATGATCGTGCTGAAGGTTTTGTGTTTGGTTGATTGTTGTTGTTGTTCCTTTGTTATTTCTGAAAAAAAAAAAAAAAAAGGAATTAAGAATTTCCAGATTATTATTAATAACGACTATAATACGGTAATCCTGTATATAATTTTATGCACAATTTAATGTGCAGTATAATTTTATATACACACAGTATTGCTTCGTACATACATAATACTGTTTTATACACACACAGTACTATTTTATACTCACATAATACTATTTTATACACACATAATATTGTTTTATACATACATAGATGTAATCATGTTGCAATGCCCTGTTCAGGAGATATGTTCCTGGCTTCCACAATGCTCAAAATGAGTTCAACCTGTGTGGCCTTGAGCAGAATGGCAGACAGGCATATTTTTTTATTGCTGATTCCAACTCTCATAAATTCTTAACTTGCTTAGAATTCGCCAGATTAAATGAAAAGTTACTGTAATTAAGGATTTATTAAAACATGAATCCTTGACCCAATAGAATATAATAACTCATTTGTTTCAAATAAGACCTATTTAATTGTTCCATCCTTGGCCTAAGCAGCCCTTGCAGTGCAGAGTCACGTGCGTTCTCCAAATCCACTTGCAAAAGGCCCTGTGAAATTTTTGATCCCCAAACCACTATATGAGCAGAAACCCCCAAAACAAAATTGTGTCATTTTAATTAAAAATTCAAGTGCTGAAAGCCTCTATTATTCTGCACTAAAAAGCAAAGACTATGAAAATACCATTTTTATACACAAGGTTCTATTCTAACTTTTTGTGAACAACCTTCCCGCTCCGAATCTTCAAAAACAATAGTTATTGATTTATGGTCTTATAAAATAGGACTGTAAAATCTTGTGCCACGGAACTATAAATAGATATTTTAAAAAGATATGAAAATTGCTCCCAAATTGAGTCTATATAAGGCTGTAGTCAGCAGAGAGCCATTTTGCAGGGCCATATAAACTGCAGAAAAGAATTTCTATTGAAAATGTAAAGAAATCTGAAACTATGCTCTGCCACAGACAATGCAGCCATAATTAAGGAATTACCCATTCCTCCTCCCCATCTTTGAAATAAGCCTTCTCTTTTTTTTTTAATTGGTTGGATACAGAAAGCATATTACTATATTTGGGTCCTGTTCCCCTACTATAAGAACAGTCCTACAAGGAATTCCCAGTAAAACAGTGTTGCAGTTCTACAGTATATTGAGAAAAAATACCATAGGAAAGTGTTATCCAATGGGCAGATGTTAACTTAAAGTGCACATTGTTTGGAAAAGGAGTTAATTAACAACTTATTAATTGGATAGAAAGTCTGAAACTGTTGTACTTCTAGCAAATACATAATTTTCTTCAAGTATTATTAAAGCGTTTTTGTTGTACCTATTAAAGATTCTTGTCTCTAAGTTAATTTCATTATGCTAATAAGCTATCATCGTTACAGAACCTAAGCTTTGATCCATGTTAATTGTCGTGATCTTCAAAGACAAAGTCACCACTTACTTTAAATGAATTTTACATCTTTTTAAAGAATCACACGGAAATTAGGGGAAGTAATTAATTTTTTATTATGTGTCTCAATATTTTTAAGGGAGGAAGTCAATGGTATTGGCTAGAATTCATTTTAACATTTAACTAGGGAAAACAGCATGAGGCAAAAAAACGTTCAGATGCAAAAGATTAAAGAAAATTTGAAACTGGGACCTAATTTGTCTTGATAAACTTTGGTGTTTAATATGCTTCTTTTGTTCTCAGTGTGAAACTGCAGGGTTTTGATTTGTAGAAACTTTTTGAAGAATTAATTCTTTCTAATTTTTATTCCTTTCTTTGCTTTCCTTGTACTCGAAGACAGTGGAGTTGACCTTCAAACCATAACACTTTTAAATATCTGTGAATATACAAGGTTAAATCTATTAGTGGTCTGAGATTAGCTGTTCTACACTTGCAAAGTGTGTACCTTCTGCAGCAAATTTTATCTTTTAGTGAATGATAACGAGCTTACATCCACCCTACAAGTCCTCAGCAAATAATAGAATATGTGTTGTAAGTGATCTATTCCTCTTCCCTTTAAGTGCTGGTTATTTTAACCCTTTGATGTTGTACAAAGCTCAGTTCTGAGTCAATAAGACGTTATTTTATTAGAGATCACGACCTAAATGTGAGTATTGTCACCGCTGCTATGATTGACAGCTTGCAGTTCTCCTATAGCTTTTTCAGACCTCTCTTGTAAATATTGCATATAAGAATGTAAAAGCAAAATGTGTAAGCAAAGAAAAAATTATATTATAAAAAAGAAGAAGGGTTGTGCTCTGTTTTCCTGGCCATTTAAAGCCCTGCTGTACTGGAACTGCTCCCTGTCACATTCCCGAAGCACAAGCATCCTGTTGCACTTGCAGTGAGAAATGGTGCCTTTTTAAAAGGCAACAGACAAAAGTAATTTAAAGATAGTAACAGTGATTGAAATCAAAAGCCAGATTTACCTACTTCCTCCTCCCTAGTTCACGGAGTGTAAGTATTTTAAATGCAAGTAAACCCCAAGTTTGAACCGAAGCTCTGCAGTCGGATTTCTGTGGCAGACAGGTGGTGAGCTCATCACCGGGATTTTTCAGCATTAATGCTGTACTCATTTAGACTAACACCAGGCTTGAGTGACCCTCATCTGGATTTAACCTCTGCCCTGTCAATCCACAGACATACTTTCAGATCTCAACATCAGTTTTGCTGGTTTGTGGTTTGTTGTCTGGGTTTTTTTTTAAGCATAGATGACTTTAGTCATTAAGCAGCTTTCATAACTGGAACATATACATGTGCTGCTCAGTGCTCTTTGATTTGTAATCTAGGGTCCTGCCCAAATAATCCCCAGAGTCTGAGGGAATTGAGATGAAGTCCAAAATTCTTTGATTGAGGGTGTAGTGATGATTTGGAACAGGATTGTGCTGCTTTCACTTTTTTTGCAGCAGGACCTTTAGGGTGCAAAACATCCAGTGAGCAAAACATCATCTGCTGTCCTGTACAGGGCCAGGAGCTGGACTTTGATGATCCCTTGTGGGTCCCTTCCAACTCAGAATGTTCTGTGAAAAAGGCCTACAGGTGTGGGGGTTTATTACTAGCAGTATTAGTATTAATATTTTTAGTAGTAATATTAGGGTGAGACTTGATGATCTTGGAGGTCTTTTTTAACCTAACTAACTCTGTGATTCTAATATTTAGGCATTCATTTCATAGCCAGCAAAGAATTTTTGTATGAAGCAGGCTTTTGGTTGCTTATGATATTTTATTTTTGAGGAGGGGGGGTGTTAGATGCCAGTTTTAATTCAGTTCAGATATAAAGCATTTGTCCTTCAGTTTTGATGAGCTTTTGAAAAAAACTCAGGTTATAGTGGGTATAGGGCATGACATGAAGGCATAATCCACCCTGCTGTACAGAGAAGCAAGAGCTTCCTCCCCACTTGGGTAAATCCGAGGAATGCAGTGTCTCCCATAGTGCCCTCCCCTTGCCCGAGTAATTGAAAGGAGCAATTCTCCCTATCACATCTTTTCTTAAGAATTAATAACACCCCATAAATGTTTATGTAAACATACAATTTAAAAGGACTCATTCCAGCAGCACTGTGCTTGTCAAGTGAGTCATTTTTTCACCTGGCAGGATGATGTTGTAAGGCTCAGTTGTCTTAACTAATCCTGGCTAAAATGCAAAATTCTGTTTTGTAAGAAAATTTCTGGCCAGCTCTAATCTTAACCTCTTGCATGTCTGGAGCTTCTAAATCGATGTCACAGTTGTAATAGCTTTGAAAACCCATATGTTTGTAAACTAAATAAACCTTGATATTCAAAGGAGATGAAGACAAGAATTACATCTCTTGGCAGTGGTGCTCTGAGCTCCGTTTCAGCTCGTGTTGGCTCCTCGTTTTTATGCCCGTGTGCCACGCCAAATCTTCCTTATCTCTGCAAACATGCTAACACTGGCTGTGTTGCTAAGGCTGTGATGCATCAGTCTCTTATCTCCAGTTCTGACCCCAACGTTACATAATAACTTCCAAACGGTATTTCTTGATAGTTCACTGGGACCGCCTTCGCCTCCTCGACTCTTCGCTGGGAGTGACTCTCCTGCCCACTGACTACATCAGCTCCTGGCTGCTCTCAGCCAGCTAAGGCAGAAAGGCTGCCAAATAGCTTCCTGCTCCAAGATCTCTGTATCCTTGCAGTGTCATGGGACGTAACCCCACAGCTCTGGTGTTTTTCCCAGGTAATTTTCCCCGTTAAGTTAAACTTACGTGGTTTGGCTTTAGTGGTGTCACCCCAGATCCTTCCAAAGTTGCCCCAAACCTCTGCTCATCCTGTTTGCCACACTCTGCTATTAGACAGGCTTTAATATCTTCTTAAATCAAATGTGCACTGTATTAACGTGTGAAAAAATTCTGCACTAAACATAATAAAAATGGCACCCTAGTAATACACATAAATACTGAAAAGTGTTTTTAATATTGCCTACTAGGGCTATTAATGCCAAAACAAGAAAATAAATATTTGTCATCAGTTCTATCTGGCCAAAAGTCTTCCTTTAGGAATAGCATAACATATTCTTTTACAGTATATAATTGCCTTAATTATTTTTTGGCCTATCCACAGCAACTTAGTTCCATCTCTCTCCCGTAGTGTCCAAAGAATATGCAAATTCTGCTCATTCCAGCTCTCAAAATAAGTAAAAAAAACCTAAAAAGACTCTCCTTTAGCTCTTGAGGAAAGGCTCAGAAAACTTTCCTAAGCCTGGCTGTTCTGTATGCCAAGAACTTTCTTATTAATGGAAGATGTCCCCAAGCTCTTCGCTATTGTTCCGAGGTCTTCCCCTCACCCCGCCTGGCGTCTCGGCATTCCTACGACAGCTCTGTTCCTTGTGGCTCCCCCCACTCCCCCCCAATCCCATCTACAGCCTGGAGCCTGAAAACATGGAAAACTGAGTCAAGCTCTTAAACCTTCCAGGCTCAGTAGTCATGAAGCCAAAAGCATGAAGTGTAGGAGCTTTCTGTCCTCTTAAAGAAGTCGCAAGTTGTAGCACAAGGGGATCCAAGGGCTTGTATCCCTTCTCACGGCTGTGTCTGGTTAACGACCTCCAAGGAATCTCAGGAAAGCCAAAGGGTGGAGGACTTTAGGAGGCTGGATCTCCCAAACTCTCTGTTTCCAACCCACCCTTTGCCTGATATAGCTGAAAAGAACCCCAGAAGCCCTGGACAGTGCAGGAAATGAGCCTATGCAATATTTAGGATTGGTCTCTACTGCAAAATGTTCATAATGCAACTTCTCAGTTCTTGCTCTTTTTTCCTCCCTGGCTATTAAAAATTCCACTTGTAATGCAAAGCAGAGCTGGAGTTCTGTGACCACCCTATGAGCACAGTGATCTGTTTCTCGGTTATAGGAAACCATTCCCTTCAAACAAGTTACTGAGGACGTGCTCCAAAGCAGGATTTGCAGTATTCCACGACAGCTAGATTGCCCTGCCTATATTATGCTCCAAAACAAAACTGAAGATAACCCAATTTTCCAATTTTTTAGTGACAAAATATAAGTTAAAGGGAGTGAAAGTTCAGCTTCTGATACTCAGTGGAGGTGGCTCCTATGTTGGACAGATTCGTACATAATTCCAATGTCCAGAATTTTCATCTTCAGGTGGCTGCACAACCAGCAAACTGATCATTACCTCTTTTTGTATCTCAGAGAAGGTAATGGTGTTCTGAGAAGAGCCCTCTGATTTTCCTGTTTTCCGGAGCAGTTGCTTATGAAAAGGAACTTGACTGGAGACTTGCTGTGGGAATGTTATTCGAGCACTGGTTAAGTGCCAGAATGTGTTGGGAAGAAAGAGTTTCCAGAAAAATATCACCCTGATTAAAACCTGATTTTACTGAGTTTTCTCTATGCAAAGGGTTACCAGAATAGTACGACAAAGTCATTAGTCAGATTTTCCTTCCCTTACTTGATCATTACCAGTGATGCTTTTATTGCTGTTTTTTGAATGATTATTGTTACAACAACTCACCAATGAGCTACTTAGGTACTGCTTGTCTGTAGTCTTGCTTCTCACATGACGTGTTAAATGTCCTGTTGATGCCTGTCCTTGTTTGGCAATTTTTCCACACTCCCCTTCTAGTCTTTGTAATACATTTAATTGGGTATATGAGGAAAAGATGGGAAGAGAGTCATAATGCCAACGCGTTTTTTGCTCCCTACGTTATTTTTTTCATGAAGCCACCCTTGTGACTATCAACAGAAAACAACCCGTCTTATGCTAAAGGAAAAAAATTAGATCAGCAAACAGCAGAGGACAACAGAAAATACTTTTTTGATAATTGAAGGGATTATATATAAATTTTCTCTTAGAAGGCCGTTTGTAAAGGTCGTGTGTTTGGGTTGGTTTCTTTCAAAAGATAATAAATACTGTGGGCAAACCATATTTGATTCTGGTTCAGTAAGATCTTCAAAAATGGCCATGGGTATGTTACCACTCTCTGAATATTGGACTGAACAAACATCCACCACCGGATTTCTGTGAAACATGCCTTCTTTTTTGTTCACTCTTAGCCATGGATGTGGTTGAAACACCCTACTGTATTCTGCAAGTGCTGTCCTACTCTTGGTAGGAGATCATAAGATGTTGGGGTTAACTGTCAGATGCTTTACTCTTCTAAAGACCTTCTCCTTTTAACTAAATGCTTGCTTATCTTTCTAATTTAACATAGTCCCACATTCTTTTCGTAGTAATTTTGGACTATCTGATAACATATAATGGAAAACATGTTTATGTCTTCCACTAGTTCTTGTTGCATATTTCAAATGCTTAGAACAACAATTTTCAGAAGCTTTCATTAAGGTTAATTTAAAAACTACATTAAATACAAACAGATTTTCTCACAAACAAAATGCAATGTGTACTTAACAGACTTCTGTATGTTATATTTGATAAACTACCTCATATAAATGCAAATTCTGACTTTCTGCCAGAACAAGGTGGTACAGAAAATATTTCTATTAAACAAATAATGCTGGGAGAGCAAACTTCAAGTTACAGTATGTTATACTGAGAAAGAAGATTTTCTTTTCCCACTGAGGTCAGGTATATATTTATGTTATTTCTTCTAAGTACTCTGCTGCTTCTACACTAAAGATGATGTAGTACAGCTCTATATAAAAGGCAGGTACATGTATATACAGGATAAATACCCACTTTTAATCATTTCTTTTAGTGTTGTATATGATAACTGCTGACTGCATGTGCTCTACAGAACAGTGGTGTGAGAAGATGCCATGCTATGAGCTGAACTCTGAAACTGAGCCAGGAGGGTCGAGAGGAGGAGGAGCAACCCTCAAACCTGGAATCATTAGGTATGATCGGGAAACGGAGCTTCATATGCTTTTTCCTTGGTGCCAGCTCATCCCTCTGCTGTTGGATAAGGTTCGTTTGGAAAAGGAGCGTGAAAAATAGAGCTGCCAGAGGCAACTCTAAAGAGCATATGATGGAAACAAATTGAGTCACCACCAATGTGGGCAACATTGTTGGTGGAATCTGGGACACCCGCGTGAGCCATTGTTCGCTGCACCTCGTCTGGTTTATGTAGCTCTCTGAGTTGAAAGCTGGGTCGGCACCAACCTTGTGATTCGAGGGGGCTCTGGCCATGTGGTTTCAATTGCCCATGGTCGCTTTCAGCTCGCACTGCGCCCTGCCAGGAGCGGCCGGTCCTGCTGGTCTCCCACGCTCGTGGTGCTGTCCCAGCTCACCCTGATGGAGCTGTGGTGGGGCTGTTTCCTGGTGTGGTCACTTCTAGTGGGTTGCTGCTCTGCAAGTCTGCTAGGAGAGGGAGTTTATTCACTCTTCCCTCTGCCCCTAAAGCAGCTGCTGCTTAGAAGTTTTCCCTGAATACATTTTGCTGTGGAAAAGGGCTTTTTTTTGCTTTTCAAGCTGGTTCCTGTCCTGACTCGGTCCGAAGCTGCTTTTTGGTGTTGTTGTGGGAGTATCTGAGGTTGTGATTTATTCTCTTGGGCTCTTCTCGTTTGAAGGTTGCAAAGAATGAGGCTCATACTGGTTTTACCACCTATTTCTGTCCTGCTGGTGTACGCAGCTCTTGTCTGTGAGTGTTTTTCTGTGGGCATGGGGTTGATGAGAACTGCTGAAATAGCAAGAGATCGCTTCAACCACCACCAAATTACAGCCATGCCCGAGGCAAATTACAACAGCTTTCTGACAGTGTCACCATGCTATCTTTGTGACAGAGATGGAGATAATGAGAATTAATTAATCAGTCTTTGATTAGAAAAAAAAAAAAAAAGAGGTGGGGGAAATCCTTCTGCTGTGATTCCACTGCAAAATACATGAAACTGGTGAGGTTTTTGTTTGATGTTACTTCTCAAATATAGGGCAGATGTTTGTAAAGCAGTGTTAAGGTCTGCATGGCTGCTGGCTTGGTTACCCCTCCAAACACACCACTGATGGACCAAAGGGACAAGAGATCCTCACTTAAAGCACAAATGTATATTGAGCACTAGCACCATGAGGCTGATGCAGATGCTTTTATTCTCACAGTGCAAAAACTCCCTTATTCACAGGTCTTTCCAGTCCAAGATACAATCTCATTGACTGGAGTCAACTCTGCCTTCTTTGCAGTACTTGGGGTGAAATTCTGTGTTTCAGTCTTTAGACTGATGGCTAAATCTTAGAAATTGGTCCCTTATGATAAAACATGAACTACATGGTGCCAGTGTCTGACTGGAATTACAATTATCTAAGTAGATTCATTTGTATCCCTTTCATAGCAGCTTTTCTCTGGGCACAAGATTTTTCTGTGGGGCATGGGAAGAACAAAATTAATCTTATAAAGAGGAAGGGGTTTACACTGAAATCGATAGTTACAGAATTAACTGGGTAAATGACTTTTTCTTAATTCTTTCTCTTCTCAGAAGATGAAGTTTTGATGGGTACACAAATCCAATGGCTGCCAAGAAGCTGATATCGCATGAAATATTTCATCTCAGCTGCGTTGAGCTCATCTAGACTTTGGTATTAGTGAAAACTAAGTGTGTAAAAAATGTCAGTATTCAAGAGGGGAAAGAAAAAACCTATTCTGATTATTAAATATGAGTAAGTAAGGCAGTTATGTTTCTTAAAAATGTTATAATTTTTAGAAAGAGTTACCTGGTTCTCCTGGGCAATTTTTAAATATGAGCCAAATAGGTGCTTTTAAGGTTGGGGATAGATAATGAACAAATACAGTATATTTGTATTATTTTAGAGAAACAGAACATTGGATTGCAGAGGTACCAGAAGTAGGTCTGTCACCTTGTTGAAATTTTTGATGCAGTCACAGTGGCTGGATTGATCTGCAAACTCTGGGGCCCAATTCCAGGCCAAGTTCTTTTCCCTTCATGTACCTGGTTCCCAGATCTCTCAAATTTTCACTTACAGCCAGGCAGAAGCAATTCTATCATTTCTTCTTCCACCAAACCTTCAGCTCAACTTCAGCTGTTCTTCATCTGCATTTAGGAGATGGAACCCAAAAGATGCTGCAGCACCAAGGTGGGTGTTCCCAGCCTGGCCATAGCACTTATTTGTGATGACAGTGGTGAAACCTTCTCACATGCAGTTCACAGAAATGAATTGTACCAAAAGCATCTGTAAAAGCTGCAGCATCCTTTTAAAGAGCTCATAATGTCTGCATTTTTCAGTGGGTATCTTCTCTAAAGGCAAATAATCACTTTTCCCATTAATGATCTGTAAATTATTGGACTGAAACTGTTTCTCATTCATTTGGGTTTCAGCAAAGGTTATGGGCAGAATATTTAACATGGGTATGGGGATGGTACAGTGTGAATCATGTGGTGTTTCTTCCTGCTGCAAAGGTTGAAGGCAATACAGCACCTGAGAACATTTTTTCCTCTGTATCCTGGGCACTATTGTCATTTTTATTTTTCTACTTCACTCATGATTCCAGAAATTTTTACAAGGACATGTAAGAGATGGAACAACAGGGGAACAATTTTAAACTAAGAGAGAGGAGATTTAGATTGGATGTTAGGAGGAAATGTTTCACTCAGAGGGTGGTGAGGCCCTGGCACACGTTGGGCAGAGAAGCTGTGGCTGCCCCATTCCTGGAAGTGTCCAAGGCCAGGTTGGACGGGGCTTGGAGCAACCTGGGCTAGTGGAAGGTGTCCCTGCCCATGGCAGGGTGTTGGGGTGAGATGATTTTTAAGGTCTTATCCAACCCAAATCATTCTATGATTCTATGAAATTTTGCTGATCCTCTAAAGATTTTTGGTCTCCTACAGGCTTCTCAAACTCCTCTTTGCTGGGCACAAACTCTGGTAGCACCAGTTCCTGGCTTATACCAGGTCTGGTACATAATTTATACACCAAAAGGAGGTCAACACTGGAGTGTCCATCCTTTAGGTCATGTATATCATATTAAATCAGGGATTTATGCTACTTCCACCAGGAAAAAAACAACAAACAACTCATCTTTATGTTAATGCAAGGCATAGGTTGCCAACTGAGTTTCTTTGCATCAGGTGATGGCAGATGGATTTCATTTTGCTGCAGATAACATTTGTGGACTCGAAATTTTGGCGAAGGAGGGCAAAAAGGGAAATATTCTCTGATAGGATGAACACAGGTGATGGGAAAGAAAACCTACCTTTTCAAGCCTAAGCAAACCCTTTAACGCTGCTCTTTCAGTTTAAAACACACGTATTTTGCCGAAGTCCATCTAACCTGTGGACTCACAGAATCACAGAAACTTCAGTTACAAACATATGTGTGTTAATGCCAGCTATCAGCCTGTTCTGTGAACAGCACGTTTAGCTGCATATGCTGTGTATTAAACCACTACAGGACAGATGTTCTGCTGAGTGGAATCCAGATGTAGCATCAACACCTGGCTTATTGCTGACTCCCATGGCAGGTATTTGGATTGACATCCAAGACACCCACAACACACCTGTGGGCCTTGTTAACTCCAGCCTCTGCCACCTTCCTTCAGAAGCATTTGGGAACTTCCTCCTGGATTTCTTTTACCTTTCTGACACAGGAATTTCAAACCATGGCATCTAAATTCCGGGAATTTAATTTCCAAGCACTTCCTCTGTGCTGCTTACTCGCAAGCACCAGGTCAGGGCTGTTGCAAATTCTTTTCTCCTTATTTGTTTCCAAGGAGTAATAGAAATCAGTCTTGAAAACTGCAGATTATTTTATCAGGATGCCGGATGTTTCTCTCTAATTTGTCATTGGCCTTTACCAATTAGCAGCAAGCTCCTCTGTCAGATACAGCTTGGATCCATCTAGGGATTATGTGGAAGAGCCTTCAGCATCTTGAGGAGCAAGGGCCAAATTTAGAGTGTATCACTTACTTTATGTTATGTGGTAATGACTTCCAAAAGTTGGGAACATTGGGAACATTTAAATGCATTTAATTATTTTTAGGTTCGTTGTTTCACTATAAAGCTTTACTTTTAATATGTTCTGGCCTGTCCAGTAATTTCATTTGCATACAAGCTCTGATCTCAAACCAAAGTTTTAATTTACTTGGGTTTTTTCTGTTAAAAAATAGGATTCTGGTTTTTATTGCCATGTTCTTAAAAAAATTACTTGTGCGTACTCCTTGCTACAATTTAGGATATTTATGAATGGTTCTACATAAAAGGAATGAAAATAACTAATTATAATAATACCACTAAATGCCATGGCTGGCTAGAAAGTGGAAATCCCTTCCCATTACATCTTTTCTGTTTTTAGAAAAGAAATTAATCCAACTCTTGGATGAAAATTGAAAACCACAACATTTTTCATGTGAATGGATTTCCAAAAATATCATATTTTTAGAAATTCCCAATTCAAGTTGCTGATAAACATGAAATTGATCAAAAAAATTTAACCAATTAACAAGAGATTTAATAACACAGAAAGAAAACTCTTCAAGCCAACTACTGTTTTCCTTCTCAAGGAAAGGATATTTTCTCTTAGAAAAGATCTGATATGGTCTACTGATTAGAGCATCTGGTGCACCCGGCTGGCCTAAGGTAAGATCAGCTCTGTGGATGGAGCAGCATTTGCCCAGCCTGTTGTTTCAGATCATACAGAGAAGAGCCATTGGTGTCTTCAAGAAACTGTTCCAGTACCTGCCCCAAATGTCCTTGCCATGAGCCAGACTCTGTCCTTGTCCAGACTGGGAGGACTGGGAGCTCCCTTTTGGCAGGAGCCTATGGATGTGGAGACAGCCCATTTTCCTGTTACCATCCAACAGAGAGATCCACATGTATTGTGTGTCATTAGGATTTAGCAAGAGGTGAGATCAGTGGCTGTTTAATCACCAGAAACAGGGAGAGTAACCCAGGCATGTCCTGGGTTCTCTGGAGGAGGTCAGCCAGTGCCAGTGAGGTATAAATGTTACATCCCTTCTGTACTTCCTGCCTGCTTCTGTCTTGAACTTCCAGAAACAAATGCAAGAGAGAGTTTGCTACTGAAAATAATATTTTATAGCCATCACAGAACTATAGAACCATAGAATCATAGAATGTTTTGAGTTGGAAGGGACCTTAAAGATCATCTTGTCCCATGGGCAGGGGCACCTTCCACTAAACCAGGTTGCTCCAATCCTCATCCAAAAGAGCAGCCACAGCTTCTCTGGGCAACCTGTGCTAAGGCCTCATCACAGGGAAGAATTTCTCCCTAATGTCTAATCTAAACTTACTCTCTCAGTTTGAAGCCATTCCCCCTTGCCCTGTCATTCCAGGCCCTTGCAGAATTTCTCTCCCCACCTTTCTGGTTGTCCGCCTTCAGGTACTGGAAGGCCAGAGTGAGGTCACCTCAAAGCCTTTTACATTTAGGGGGAATATTTAGATGGGAAAACTTTGACTTCATCACTCTTAGTAAACTTTGTTGCTTTGTTTTTGTTTTTTTGTTGGTTTGGTTTGGTTTAGGTTTTGTTTGTTTCCTTTTTATTTATTTATTTATTTATTTATTTATTTTTTAAATCTAAGTGGTAAAAATTTACAGATCCATGCTTTTAAAAAAAAAAATCATTAAATTTTATGTTAGCAAGATGGGACTGGCGGGGACCCTCTGATCACAGGGTTACTCCCACATTTCATAATCCCACCTGTGGATTGGTGAAAATCCATCTTCTGCAGCCTCTGAGGCTGCTGTCTTCATACATCCCTCATCCCCATGTCCCTCATGGGCTGCTTGTGGGTGAGCTCCCACTGTCAGGTCCCTTCATCAGTCTTCTCCCAAAACTCTCTGTCAGATGAAACCCATTCATACTTGTGTTAATAGCAAGTCTTCTCCCCACTTCTTTTAACCCCATTGGTTTGTCTGTAGACAGAAATTGCATCCCAGCCTTCATTTTAGTAGGCTGAGCATGCCCAGCTATTCTAATCTTCTCTGATGGCCCAGGCTCTCCCTCTGCTCACCTGCAAGTCCTTCTTTGCAGATGTTCTCATCTGAATTAATCAGAACTGATACCAGGCAAAGAGAGGTTAACCTGGCACATGCTTCCTTCGAGAAACCCATATGGCAACGCTGCTCATTTTGTATTTACTTCCACATCCACAGTTTTGCCTCCTTTCTGTTCTCATGCCCAGTCTTAAACACAGTTTTTCCACCTGATGGGCTTGAACTTGCTTGAGTCCCTCTTTTCTCCTTCCTAAATGTACCTCTGTAAATCCTCATAGATGCCACAATGTACATTTTAATTTATTCCATTTATCTTACTCTATATTCCACACAGTTTCTAATCCAAAAAACAAGTTTGTCATAAAGAATTAATCTGTTATAGAGACAGACAAATACATATGAGAAAATACACATGTATATACACATAGAAATAAAATACATATAAAAATATGTGTTTACATATAAAAACATACATATATTTATGAGAAGGACAGGTATATGGAAAGGGAAATATATAACAAAAATATAAATGAATTTTAGGTGTCATAATGCTTCTGGGTCAGACTTGGGACATAATGCTGTCAGAACGGTGGGAGAATTTGTGGATTGGACTTTTCATGATAGGTAAATGGGAAGAAGGTGCAAAACAGGAGACAGAGCTAATGAATCTTGGAATTTGCCCTTATCCACTGAAATAAAAATACTGTTTTGAGTCACACTTCTTGCACCTTTGCTTAGTTAAGACTTGCTGCACTGTGGCAATAATGGGTTATACAAAAGCCACTTTTTGCATAGTTAA